CCCCTGTGTGTCGTCGAGAGTACAAAAACGGAATGCACCTAGCTGAATGCGTTCCCGGATGAGTCATTAGCACGAATTTACCTAAATGGGTTTATCTGCATAGTATACACGCCAATGACGTGATAAGTAGACAAGAAACCACTGAGCTGTCTTTGAGCATGCTCAAAAAACCAACTGTTCTATTTCTCTGGTCGTGCCGACCTGCGTAAGAAATCACCTTGCAGTCTACACACAGAATAGTTTTTCATTTCAATTGAAATCCGAAACAGTACAAACAACTGTAATCTCAATTGACAGTAGTTTTGACAGTGAATAAAATGCATGCATGCATCACAAACCGAATCACGTGACATGAAAGAGATTGGTCAAAATAATGCCGCGGTAATGCAAAGATGAAAAACGGATTCGGATAAACCATGATACACTTGTTGTCGGTGAGTTTACGTGCCAAACAAAACAGACAGGTCCAGAAATGAATTTTTATTGATAGTAGGCCTAAATATACATCGGTTCGCCTCGCCAGAAAGCCGATGAGAGAGTGAGGCTGGCAAAAATGGACAACGTTTTACTTCGCCTAACCGGTGGTCTCCTAAGTAAAGGCTTCAAAACTACTGCTGGCAAATTCTTTACCAGTCCCAGGATGGCAAAATTGCTCTGCATTCAGTAAGGGGCAGTGGAAGTTGCAATATTCACATATTGCTTTACTCTACCAGAAGAATCTGCTTAGGGGAACATAGAAACACACTGTAGCATGCCTTGAATCATGAAAGCAATAAGTAAATTCTACTGAAGTACCAGGAGAAAAAGTGTAAGTTCGAATATCTAATTTCAACTGTGCATGACAACATTAGGGTTTAAAAATGTGGTAAGCAAAAGCCTTCGATGATCCCCTTTCATAATAGAAAGAGATTAAAACCGAGTACTGTCAGTAACATGCGGATGAACTTTCCCCGCAATGTGTATTAAAAACATGACGACCGCTGATGGCTTGGGAGAACATACTGAATACCGCATCATTGAATGCGTGAATATGCTTTATTTACAGAGAGCCGTTAGAGTGCAAAAACCCAGGGGAAAATCTCTCTACTGTTTATTGCAAACAAATTCTGTTCCGGTCAACAATCGGCTATAGACCGTTAAGAGATCGTTTTGGGTGATAATCATTATGAGAAACATTTGCCGGGATTGTGGAGAATGCTGGTGTAGTGAGTGTTTGTTCCTCTGATATTGTAACCCATTTCAGTCTCACGAGCTGTCCTTTTTGAAGCTTATTGGTACCGTGAATTTCACGCCGGTGTTTGACTTCTAGTACATTGAAAAATAACGCAGTGACATTTACTGTATTCTGGAAGGGTGCCTTAGATTAAAAACAACCGTGATACATTTAAATCTTTATACACACTATATTATTTCATTGATTTTTACACCAGAGTTGTGTGTTTTGTTTCATTTCCGATTGGTTGAATACATAATGATACAATTTTCAGGTAGGGGACGGGATCAATCAAATGGTTGTCATACAACACACAAAGGAAGAAGTCAGGTGATAACGGTGTGATTCGAATACGCGTCCTTCGGAGTGATTATTTGGTGACTTTATCACTGGGCCACCCTCATCCAATATACGTATACCATCCAGTTGTACATTCTGTAATCGGTGCAAAATTGATAAACCGATTATACTAGTGAGCGAGCTACACTCAAGTGGGCACGGCATCACAACTCACGATAAACCGACACAACACTTCCAGATTTATGTTGAAAGAATGAATCGTTAAAGAAAACGGAAAATCTTTCAGGATTTTGTGTTGAAGCTTCCACAATATGTATAGATACTATTGATGACTCGAGTGTTTTGGTTCAATCATCTTATCGAACTCAGAGGTTTCCATCAAACCACACGTAATATTAGCTATAATACTTAATGTTCACTATGGTAACGGGGTGTTGCACAATTTGACCGAGTTGCCGGTTTGACCACGGCAAGCAGAATTATGACTCCATGTTCCTACTTCCACTTTGCCAATAGTGACAATAACTCAATTGTTCTATAACTTTGGCAATTGAAGTTGTCCCAATATCATTTCAAGATTTTCAGCTATCATTTCAAGCTGTCCCACTGAGCTCATTGAGGTTGCCAGGTTCATACACTTTTAATGCACAAATTTCTCAACCTCTGCTTGAAGCGCGGGTATGACGATTGCGAGACGTGTCTCGGTCACACTGCAATCACCATGACATATATTGAATATTTACCTTGCTAGTACCCGTACGTGTCTCTGTATGTGTGTTCGTTCCCCTTCTACCGAAAAGTCATATCTGGTCATGCTACCCTGAAACCAAATGGATCATGCACGATCAACGCTTGAGTCATTGCTTACATTGCTTACATTGATGCACAAGGTGATAGCCGTCGACTGTGTAGCTCAGGGGTAAGGGTTTGAAGTTCCGACCCGACTGATCGAGTCCTGATAGGGACAGAGAAAGTACGCACTGCTGTCGACTTCCAAACAGGACGAAACAGCTGTCCAGTGTTCTTTGTTGGTTATCACAAACATGTTCATCGCATTGGAATGAGACATCTCTATCAAAAAAACTGCAATTGAAGCAACGTAACGAGGGCCGTCAAATTATACCATAAATTTTATGGTAAAGAACACACAACGTAGGTGAACATACGTATAAAATTTGTGCAACAACCCATTTTGATCTACGCTGTAATAATGGTGGTGGCCAATGGGGCCGTTCCGCACCGACGAGGCGCATTCGAGGAAAGTGGTGAGCACAATATTACGTGTGATTTCGGTGATCCTGAAGATTGGTCAGCCAATCGCAGATACGCAGATATCGCAACATTAATGAGTATTTGTGTAAAATAGGCGATAAGGCCAGTTGTGGGCATACGTGATCTTTAGGACAACATTCGCATTGTCTGCGTACGGCCATTGTGACAATCAGTGCATCTAGCTGACAAACCTCGGATGTGGATGGAACCGCTGGTATTTGTAATAAAAAGCTCATGTTTATAATAATCGACTATCAATAAACTGATAATGTGACAGTCTATTGGTTTATTCAATCGAAACATACTACTCTGAAGATGGCCAGTTATCTCGTGCGGTAAGCACATTCGGAAAGACTTTAGTATAATGAAAGCGCGATGAAAACGCACTCAGCTGGGCACGAAGTCACCTTAATAATATATCCATTCTGAAGCTAGTTAAACGAGGTAAACGCGTCGCCTCGTTGAGAGACAAATACCAAATACACGGAAATCTTTGTACCAGTAAAGTGGCAATTGCTGGTTTCGCTCTGATTACTCCTATGCTATTACACACCTTAGTGTGAGGAACAGCAGACGGGGGGACCCCATAATCACGATGACCTGCTGCTCAGTGCTGTAAACCGGCATGCTAAGCCGCGGAACTTGGATTAGTGAACTACATAAGGCCCCGCTAGGTTCGGCGTGGTACTGAACCAGACGACAGCGAAGTTGGGTGGCCGTGGTGGGTATCAAACCTTGGACCATACAATCCAAAAACATCGACTAAAGTACTGCGCCACCACCAATTCGATCTGGGGCAGAATATCATAATAGTCAATATTATCAAATTGCTATATATGGTTGGTTTCTATGAGTGAATGTTCTAGCATAGAACAATGTGCGGGAAGTAACGATCTCCCTAGAAGTGAAACCCACAACCAACATTATCAGCAGTCCCTAGTACCTGTGAAAAGCCAAATGGGCTAATCCAAACATTCACCATCTAAATTGTTATAATTGTTATTATTATTATGTTAATTGAATGAAACTCCAGTTAGATGCCTAATTTTGTTTATGTGAATCGAACCAAGGCTTGCATAAGCACACTAAACCGGGGAATATGTCACAGATGAATTCATTTGTGCCAAAACATTATACTGCTGATTCATTGTTGTTTACGAACAAAAGGCCACATTGCAAAAGGCAAGATAGTCACATATGCAACTACTATGCTATTAGTCTAACTAGAAAACCGATCTTGTCTGCATTCCAGCGAGTTGTGTGTTGATTGTTTAGAATCCGACATGTTTATCACCACCCTAAATCAAGCACGTAAACAAACGAGTATGACGTGTTCCACATGGGTAATAGAAGACGACTCCATTCTACCGCATTGTACATTGGATTTTGTCTGAGTTGATATCGAAGTCATCAAACAGTTTGAAACGGTCTCATTCGGCTCTTTGATCTTAGCTCTTGACGTCTAGTTACAAATGCCAGACGTTTTTTTCACCTCTTTCGATTTGCAACTTACGGATAGAATGAGATTGCCCAGGAGCGATTACGGAACAGCGGTGATTAGTGTTCTATGAGTAACCAGTCTTCAACTAATCTGGAATCGTTTCTTTTTCTGTACGCATTGATTTCTGAGTTCTAGAACTTGGTTTATTTTGGCATTGGATGTAAAACGTGACGACGATTGATTCGTAAACATATCAGGAGATGTTGTCATATACCAATCACCATAAAAGCTTCACTTCCCTCGTCTGAGGTTTTCGTTGCAACTGCATTCCCGGTTAAATCACATTGATCATTTTCCAAGTATCATTACCTCGGCTAAGTGCAAAGTTAAATACGAAATTTCCCCGTACGTAATTTAGTTAAAAAGAAAATACGATCGCAAATGTGGAATGAAACAGCGATATCAGCATTAAACGTCTACATTGATTCTTCGACGAAACCATTTTTCTCCTCGTTAACCGTAAGGTAGTGTTATAATTCCACAAGATGTTGCCTGCTTGAGAAAGTGGTTTATTGCTGATTACAGTTAGGATATCGATAGTTTGGCATACATATAACAAGGTATCTCATTTTAAACATGCCATCACAATTCTCGACAGCACTCTGAGTAATGAATGGGACAGTCCATAGTTATTATTTGGAGCACAGAAATTTTCTCCAAGTGTTCTTGTTCATTTCTGACCATTGAAAGCAATTGCCAACTGCATTATTTACATAATACTCACAAATGTGAGTAGTACCTCACAACAGTGGTAGTTCCACCTGTCTAGTGTATGCAAGCAGCATTTCTCTTCGCCTCAACGAGGCAAATTCAGTGTCTTTATTTTGTCCATATATCGTGAGTTTCGTTCCCTCGCCCCCCCCACCTACATATATACAGTGCTCCTCTTAATGCATGTCAAGCTCTGATCTCTGTTTCACACTGTTGTCGCTCTTCTGTCTGTTTGGTAATGCTTAGCCAATCGATATGCGTAAAATCCATTACTTGAATAGCTTTAAATCATCTCCAATGGGGCGGTATGACTCATAGAATTCGGACATCTCAACGCATCAAGCCTGGGGCGAACTTCTCTGACCGTTGTATGTGTGTGTGTGTGTGTGAGCGGGGGGGAGGTATCATTTGAATTTGATTTTGCTGCTGTGATCCCGTCACTCATCATCTGACAGTTGACCTTGATTGTTTGCCTCCTGCAGCTATCTCGTGCATATGTAGTAGTTGAATTACGCACTGATCACGAACAACGAATCACGTACCATAAATCACAGACGCCACGTAAGCACTGAATGACAACGAAACTTGCACGACAGTAGCCCACGTAACTGAGAAGCAAGGAAAAGGCCACGATAAATGCAGTTTCTTTATTGAAGGGAATCATGGGAGTTAAATAATATGTATAAAACAAGTTCTTTGGTTATCCAAGTCTCTGCCAATCGCGTGCTAGTATTCATAGCGTTGTACGGCTTCTGATTGTTTGGTACAATCGTCTATGGTTTGTAGTTCAGAGCTATAAGGCGTAGACACTTTGATGACGTCACCTGGGAAGCTTGACTCATCACAGTTGTCCGGAAACTGTAACTGGTCTCCCCGCGGTTTGCGTCAACCCGTAAGCTAGGATCACTACAGTATACTACACGTTTTTGATGGAACGATTCGTTTCACCTCATCTCTTTCTCTCACTATTGGAAGAGCTCCCTGGAGTTGCTGTGATAAGGAGAGAAATTGAGACCGAAACTACAAGGTGATGTTCCATGATATCGTGCTCAGACAGGAAATTTGAGGTTTCCGAATTTGAATGCTCGCTACGCATCCTACCAACCTGCTTCATTCGAGTAGCATCTCAGAAGGGCATGATGATACGTTTGGTTGTGTCATTTATTTTCGTCAAACGCTGAAATGTAGGTATTTCGTTTTATGGATTTCACTTTACTAATGTAATAGTATCGCAAGGCAGTCATTATGATTTTCCCAGAGTAAAACATCTTACAAGCGGAGGGGTGGGTGGGTGCAGGAAAATTTTGTTTATATATGTATTTTCCGGAAATGGTTTCAATTTCACCACGCTATAATTTCGAGGCGCTCGTGTTGCCTGGTTCTTGGACTATGATGTCTAGAAACGTGGTGAATGGAAGGTGTATCCATTGTTGATAGATATTGGAATTCAGTGCTAGCACTTCATACTGCAGTGATTTCGTGAGAGAACTGAATAGTGTAAGTCAAAGCATCATCGCTGTGTGACCAACACAGGCTGGTTGTTTTATAAGCGACGCCATATTCAACTCCTCACACAACAATTAGGAACGCCGATACGCTCGAGAACTACGTGTAATCATCGACAGTTTACCCCAACTGGGTATCGAAACCCGGGAAAGACACGAATAAACGGAGACCAATTGGTGGCGAAGTTCAGGCAGTCAAATTGATTTGACACGCAATGGGACCAGCGCTGAGGGTGGCGAGACTGCAACGTAGTAGTGCAGTTAACTTGAGGCGTGAAATCACCTGACATTGAACCCAGGTCGTTGGATGGTATTTCAATTCCGTCTTTGGTAAAAAGTGTCGTTTTTGAATAGACAACGGAATAATCATCACAGCTGACAAGAACTCGTCTGTGTAACAACTGCTGGGTGACAGATGTGGTCAGATATTTTCACATCAATTGATCATCAGGATCTGAAATGATAAGGTGGCTGTCCAGCCTGCGAACAATCAAATATTTGAATAAATGATTTCATTCAATTTCTGAGACGTATCATTCATTTGAAGTGTTTGTTTCTTTTGCATTCAGCACGTTCAGATATGCCGCGACTTTTTCGTCTAGACCTCGGAAGACAAACATTTCTCTTTGTGTCCAGTAACTGGTCTGGGGTCTGTACAGGCAAGCATGATAGATATTTGCTTGAGGCATGTTCCAGTGCAATGGTACATACCGTGTCTGGATCGGAGAAACCGCGAACCGTTCATGATTATGTGATTATCGGTGCTGGATCGGCTGGTTGCGTCCTCGCTAATCGGTTGTCTGCCCCGTTGAAAGGCCAATCGACTCCGAGTCTCGGTTCATCATCCCCCACCGTGCATCTGTTGGAAGCCGGTCCAACGGATCGCGGATTGACTCGTTGGACGATTAGGATGCCCGCTGCACTGATGTACAATTTATACGACGATAAGTGAGTTTCCCTTTAATATTGATTTGCATGTTTCGCAACCAGTATTATACAGGGGTTTTGGTTATTGTAAATCAGTTACCCATTTCAGGGGTACACTGAATTAAATAAAGTGGAGTGTATCATCTGAATAGAGATTCGGAAAACAGGTAACCTAGTTTTGTGTAAAAAATGAATAGATACATGAGTAGCACTGGTTACAGAACTCATTTACGTCTTCTGTAGAGTCTGTAACCATCAGCTAGTTTAATCATGTGGTCTCCAACCAGGAAACTGAGTGTGACGTATGGGACCGATAGCCCTGGTCACGATTTTCATACCCTAGTGTGAGAGCGAATTTCGGTTGTCCTCATTTTTCTTCGGCCTACTTAATTTATGTTAATATTTTGTAAATCTATCATTACAAGCTTAGATTTTCAGAAAGGGAGTTATCAGAAACAGAAAATTTGAAGAGTTAGGAACGATACAATGTTTTCGCGCACGTACCGTACCGTACATACCATATGTAAATATTATTTGCTGGCGTATTAAAACTGGAAATTTGCCTTTCTTGATTAACTGTCATTTAATTGCATGTGGTTGACGTTAATTCTATCATGAATACATTGCGAAATATCAAAGTGAATTCATGCTAACTTACTGAGCGCTGAAAACATACAATAATATAATTTACGATAACATTTCAACTGTCTTTGCAATCTTGAGACATTTGTAGTGCCGTCGTGACATCCGGCTGTCTGTGAAGGGTCGAGTATATGCTACAGCAGTTCGGCCAGTCCTGCTATTTGGTGCAGAGACTTGGCCAATACGGGGACAGGATAAAATCTACTTCGCATTGCACGAGTCTGGTGAGGTAACCGGTCGGGTAATGAATGCTGAGGTTAGGCGTAGAGTTTTGGGTAATCGCGGTCGTCCAATGGAGTAAGTGATCGAACTCCATAGATTACGTTGGCTGGGACATGTGTTACGCATGTCGCCAAATAGGTTACCACGGAGAGCGATGTTTGGCCGAGGCCGAGGTAACAGTTGAAAGAAAGGTCAAGGATGATCAAACAAAGACTTGGCATGAGGGTATGAAAACCCTGACCAGCAGACTAGGTCACAGTTAAGCTCCCTGGCTGGGGGCCCCGAGATGATGGCCACCGATACACTGAGTTATATGACTGGTTGTCACAAACAGTGGTGCTGGTGCATTTATTCATTATTCTCCTAACACCACTGTATATGAATTCTCCATCTTCCGTTTGAATTTGTTTTCAAAATTCCAATATTCATTCTGCTCTTTCATCCAAAAGGGGTACCGAAAGATAGCAACAGAAACCGGCCCACGAAAGGGCATGATTAATGGTTGTAAAAACCTGAAGTGAACTTTACCTGATGGGCACGACCTTGTGTCATACCGTACAACAGTTCAAGCAGCGTCATCAGGTTCAGTTTCAGTTCTTACCACCAAAACCCTGTCCCTTCGATAGGCGATTTTGGTGGCTGTTTTCAGGCGGCTAATTTTGCTAAAAGAGCAGAAGGAAAATTGAAGTGTTGTGAGCAGAGTAGAGAAGAAACAGAATTCCTACAGACTAGGGTTGCCACGATACTGAGTAGATACACGAGTGCTATAAGTATATCTATCCCTTTGGTTAATGCCAATCGAGCTCTCTTTGTGTGTGGACCAAAAATTCATTCCAGTTTCATCTGCTACAACAAATGCAACTTTATTTTCATACATCGGTGAAACTTCAAAATTGCCGCTGTACCAACACAGATTTTCTTATCCTATCTATTCTGCACACATTCTCGATCCCAAAATGAGCCTTTTGAGCGCGAAAGAAAACAAATAATGATTTCATGGAAGCCTTGAAGCTTTATCTTTTTTTCAAATCGCGCATTATGCAAACGGATGGGTTAAGTACGTGGCATGATGCGAAGACAGAAAGAGCACACAAGAAAGCTACTTCGTCCTTGTCAGAGCTCATCAGAATAGTGGATACTTAGTTTCCCCTTCGGGGCCTCGAATCAGGAACCCATCCACTGGGAAACAAAAATGTTAAACCCAATACTTCTTATGTGAGAAACAAAGGCTTTCCAAAGACTAAAACAAACATCAGAGCACAAAATAAAACAAAGTACCTGTCAAGGGTTAGGTCAGTCCGAAATATAAGATAGAGAAACTGTTAATGGGCTGCATATTCTTGCGTCTGGAGGGTTAGCCATTGCCAGCGTTACTGGTTTGTACAGTTTTCGACCTCCAAAATTTATGGTCATAGCCCCACTCTTGTCATGAATAAAAACTTCTACACCAGTCCTTTTCACTCATTACACAATTTCGTCACTATCGATAGTTGGTTAGATATAGTGATACCAGATAGCATGTTACTAAACTGCATAAAATAATCACACCGATTCCCAATCTATTTCAAGTTATCCTACTGTTCAGAATGTGAATCAGTCGATCACGTCTACCTGATCAGCTCCACATTTCCTGGTGAAATATCACGGAAGGCTACCAACTGACAATTATTCCATGTTCACCAGGATTTCTAACCATTTCCGGACAGCCAATTATAAACTTTAACTCCTTCGAACGGATGAGTTTCAAAATGGCTTTTGATGTCTGTCGAGCCGAATAGGAATTAGAGCATTTAGCACGTGACGATATTGTCGCATCCTCTTTTGTGCTTTATGATGGTTCCACAACTCTTTGCAGTATTTTTATCATTTTTAGAAATCTAAATAATAATAATAATTTTCAAAAGATAAACAAAAATTCTTCGTTTCATCAAAAATACCAAAAATCCACAAATTCCATAAAAACTACCGCTCCCCCCACCCCACCTAAGTGCTGCTACTGTAGACCCTTATTTTATAGGGCGCATCAGCCATTTTGTTTTAAACTGTTCACACTCACAAGGCAGCGGGGTGGTGTGTGGAAACTGCAGTCCATTGGATGCCAGTGTCCAGTTAGTTGGAACGTACACCCCTTCGAACCGGGGCAATCGTTCAAGGTGCTCAATATACCTCGGTATCCAATCGAGCCAGTGACTGCCTCTAGTTTAACATGTGGCTCCGTAGCAAATACTACGAGTAAGAATAGATCAGATGTTCTGTTATGATTTTCAGATCTGGGTTACATTCAAGCTACAACATTGTTTAGACACCACGAAAGAGTAATCACGATTTGACTAAGTACAAATTGTGGAACGCTGCAATTATTTTACCGAAAAACCGCATCCCAGTGATCATCTAACGTTATTAGAGGTACGCGATAGCTCTCTTAACTTCGAACATACGCATATGGATCTCGAAAGTCTCTCAGTATTGTGGGATGCTTTTGACCGTTCATCGAAAGGATGTATAAAACCATCACGGTATTTCTATCATTCATTCGTTTGTAATGTTTGTAATGTTTTTCTTTTTGTGTATAATTTATCCAAGCTGCCATGGACCACTTCAAACACTGTGGTACAGTGTACCTTGATCTGGTTCATTGTCTACTCCATTTTCAGTCCGAATATCAATTGAAAATGTCACAGCGTCGACTTCAGACGTATGAATATCAATTTAGGGAGTCACATTAACAATTTAAGATGTCCAAGTATCAATTTAAGATGTTTCAAATTTCGAACTATGCCCATACTCGTATTTAGAACAACACAATTTCAGGTGAACAATTGTTTTCAATAACACAGAATCATGCCGTCACAGTTTATCTGACAGGAAAAACCCTGGGGATTGGGAGAAGAACAATAAAATTTGAGGATACGTTCACTTCGTCTATGCGTGCCTGTGTTTGTGTGTGTGTGTGTGAGTGCGGGCAAGAGGGGGGGGGGCATGGGGAAGCAGTGGTTTCGTGAACCCCGGCGGGNTTCGATAAGACGTTTCTGGGCCCATGGTTCCGGGGTCAAATGCTTAGTACACATGGCCTCAGCTATGGCCAACATACGCATTCTAACGTACTTGGACCGGTTCAGGGGGATCTGATAAATAATGCGGAATGCTTTACTTGAGTTAACACGATAGCCAGTGTCCACCAAGTGAGCGAGAATCGCACTTATGATGGATCCGAAACCACCTCGACTCAGCCAGCGCGGATGGTGCTCTTTCATTCGGATAGATAACCGACATGGAGTGCGTCACAAACGCATCTAAACGACTAAACAATCATTGAAGCGGTCAACATCGGAAGTTTATCTTTATTCCGTATAGTTATCAGTGGCGAACTTTTGAAAGAGCAGCGTATGTGTTCGGCGTTTATTGTGGCTTTTACAGCTTAATTCAGTCGTCTTATGAGGATTTCGGCGTCAACTTCACCCTTGAAAAGAAGACCAATGAACCGGTCCTTCTTTTTCACCCTATCAGTGTGTACTTTTGGTACCTGTTCCATCATATTTCGTTGAATGAAGCGGTCGAGGTAGCCATTGCTTCTGAGCACGTTGGAGGTAAACTTGAGTTCATCTTCCAACACTTCTTGTGAGCAGATTCTCCGAGCTCTCGATACCAAAGATTTTATCCGCTTCCTCTTCATCTTGATCGAGACATAACTGTAAAAATTCGTGTATTGGCCACTCCAAGTTTTCTTACGATACACATTGCGTTGTATAGATCCATCACGTCTTCTAATGAGGAGTACATCTAGAAACGGTATTCGATCATCTGCTACAATCTCATTTGTAAATTGTATGGCCTTGTGTGCGCAAACAGTATAAGACGTACTACGGAACGGGGCATGACAATATGTTTCGGGTTGGAAATGTTCGCGTGTGTGTGCTTGACGAGTATGTCTGCCTGTGAGTTAGATGACTGATAGGCACGAAAGATTCTTCTGGCTGACGTTGACCACATTCAATAAAGTTTTCGATTCTTTTGTTCAGGTGACATTTGAAATTTTCCGCACTTTCGTTTGCATTCCAATGGCTAGCCGTACACCGAGAGAGCATTGGGCTAAAGAGACAAAGTGCCTTGTTTTAACTGCTTATGAAAACCAAACCACCGCCGCTGTTTTGGGTATCCACGTACGGACAGCTCATCGTTGGGTATTCGATACACGACATAATTGTATAACTGGACAGAATGAAGCGTCGATGCTTATTCGTCGTGTCGGCATATGCGCCAACCGATTGCAGTATACCTGAAATCAAGGATGAATTTTACCAGAATCTTTCTCAACTACTCCAAGGTGCTCGATCAACGGGCGTCGTAGTAGTCACCGGGGGCTTTAATGCTCAAGTGGGATCTCTGGAAGAATCAGAAAGGTTTCTTGGCGGACCACATGCAATCAAAGCCAACCGGACGGACAACGGAGATCGCCAACTTCAACTCTGCACGGACCACGGATTGTTCCTCTCAAACACGAACTTCTCGCACAAGAAACGCCATCGACTTATATAGAAACCGCCAACTTCTTCATAGCGCTGGACCCAAATCGACCACATCGCCATCAATTACCGCTGGAGGGGATCAATTCAAGACTGCCGCTCTTACTGGTCAACAGCTTTGGATACGACCACGCCTTGTTACGAGCCAAGTTCTCCTTACGCCTGGCAAACAACCACAAAAAAGCCACCGACAGCGGTGGATTCAGCGATTTATGCCAATCGGCCTTCGAAGCGGTGCTCTCCGATCGCCTGTCAGTTCAACCGCCAGCCAAAAGACTCAAAGAACAATGAGATAATGGAATTACCGTCTTTCCGTGCGCCTGTGGCTGCTTGTATGTCTGTCAGTCCACCAATCGTCACGGGTTTTGCCAGTGTGACGTAATGTTTGTCTATCTCGACGTATCGGTTGAACGAATTGACCGAGTGCACAGCCTCAAGGATTGATCGTTCCCTCTTCTTCTTAGCTCACGCCACAGCCTTTGTGTTATCAATTGCGATCTCAGGACCTGTCGGTGCGCAGTGGCTCCAGATTTGTGACCTCGGGTCAACGCGTCGGAGGGCAAGCTTGTGTTTGTGTAGGCGAGTGTGCAGCTGTTTGCTTGCTTCATCTATGAAGTGTTTGTTGGTTGCAGCCCAGGCACGGGATTACCTAGATTAGTCCTGATCGATCGTGCCGTTCGACTCGATGCTTGCCGTTGAAAAGGGACGATCGCACGGATGCTGCTGTTTTATGGGCTATCCCAATTCCCAACGGTCGGAGTATTCGTTCGGTGGCCTCTGACGTGCAGCGTATGTAAGATAGCGTTATCCAAGTTCCTTCTCTTGTATGTGTTGTTTGTTTCTTACATCTGAGGCACGCTTTGATAAAACTCCTGGGATATGCGCTTGTTAGGAACAGTTGAAAGCGTCGACTTCTTTCTCTTGTCCTTATTACGGGTGTGCTACAATGTATGTTGCTCGGTGGAATAGAGTTCGCACACAACTTTTTAGGTGGCACAAAGGGTGATTGCTGTTGTAGTTGAAGATGCGGTCCGTCGTAGTCGGTTTTCGGTAGACCGTGGTTTCGATGATTCCATCGGATTGCCTCATGAGAAGGATGCTGAGGAAGGAGAGTTGTCCATCTTTTTCTTCCTCTCGTGTGAAGTTGATACCGGGCACTTGCTCGTTGATCATTTGGTGGAACTGTTCTAACGTGGAGGCTCTGAGTATGACAAATGTATAGTCCACATACCGCATCCACAGACTAGGTTGTAGAATTTCGAAGGCTTTGGTTTCGAAGTGTTTCATAATCGCATCCGCAAGTAGTCCTGAGAATGACAAACCCGTTGAAGTTCCTCGTATCTGCTGGCATACCATCCATTCGAATTGGAAATAGATTTTCACACAGAGTTCTACGAGTTTCACCGTTCCGTCCACGGAAACTTTCGTTCTTAATTGCAAATTTTGGTCGTTTTGCAACAAGTGTCGAATACTTTCGATAGCCATTTGCTTCCGTATGTTCGTGAACAGGGAGATCATATATATATATATATATATATATATATATATATATATATATATCGGTTATCGAGTGACGAAGAGTAAAGGGTGGGACGAAAACATTATCTGTTTTCTCAAACCAGTGGACATATTGTTCCCATGCTGAACATCAGCAGTTCCAACGCAGCCAATATATACGAGTCACCTATTGTATTGTATTGTGTATAACTTTTTCAAGCGCTGGGGCTCACATTTCAGGTAAAAAATCCTACACGCTAACCGTCACAATGTACATAATCAACGGGGAGAAAAGTATTCGCAGACATGGGGACATTCATAATCCAAGGTTAAGACAAAGTTCACTTATTGTTCGCTCTTTGTTTGTGAGTAGACGAGCAAGATACGGTATGGGTGAATTGCGGTATGCATTAATTCGAGATGAAATTTGGCGGAATTGGGAGCGTGTTGAACGATGGTAATGACAAAGTATCAGTTCTGTTATCCCATCGTTACAAGATATCACGTTCTAACCATCATCTAAATCGGGAAATATCACCTACCGGAGAGGCCTATCCAGTCGCATGCTACGTAGCACGTGCTGCAGATACCGTAACCTATGGAGGTCAAGTAGTTGCGATCATTATTACACTATGATGGATACATCGTTAATCATTAGTGAAATACTAGCTGCAGGTTGCAACACAAGTTTTCGATCCTAGCATTTTCAATAAAAGACGCTAGCTGGCATGTACCTTGCTTCCTGTTTTTCGTCCTGAGGCTGAAATCAACGCACCCAGTCTAGGACTGCTATCACGTCACGTCCGTTTTCTGGAATGTCATCGTCCAGGTCGTCATCTTTAGTGAACTATCGCTTTTGGCTTTGCACACACTCATCTGAACTGCACGTAGCGCTTCATTGGTTTGGGGAGGGGGGGAAGGAGTAGAGTTCTGATCACATTACAATCACTCGATCTCAATTGTGCACCCGTCGATCGTAAGTACTGCGTGATCTAATCGAGGAGCATAGGATGGATGGCATAAGCACTTATCCTTATCCCTGTTCAATACTAAGTAAACTGTTTTTGATGGTCAACACTTGTCCATACAGACTACGCCTTGTTAGGAGCCAAATTCTCTTTACACCTGTCAAACAACTGCAAAAAAGCCGCCGACAACGGATACCAAGGATTCAATGTCAGCCATTGTTACAAATTGGCCTTCAAAGCGGAGCTCTCCGATCACTTCTAAGTCTCACCAGCAGCCGAAAGACTCAGGTAATGTTGGAAGCAAATCCAGGAGGCTATGCAACTATCGAAAAAAACAAAGTCGGACCCCGACGCAAGCTCAAAACACAAACGATGGATCTCGTCAACCCTGGTTGCCCTGTTGCCCTGAGAGGGAATTTGACAGCCTCCTGATTCACCATCAGAGACGCCCTCCCGATTGGTGGATAGAACATTTCGAGGCTCACATCAACTGACCCCCTTGACATTTGACCATTACCCTCCACCTCAAATAGGCAATTACTCCTAGTTATTGCCAGCCCTCCAACCGAAATGGCGGTTTCCAGGACGTAATGCTATATCAAAAGGTTTAGGGCTTCCGGCCCAAATGGACTGTCCCCATCGGATTTTAAGGAGGGAGGTTCAGTCTTGGTTTTGGAGTTGACAAGACACCGGGGCTCAGCGTGAGAGAACGAACAAGTACCAACAGAAAAGTGTGAATCGGTCATCATACCGACACACAAGAAAGGTGACAGATCCTTTTGTGAAAACCATAGAGGAATTAGTTTAATCAACATCGTCTCTAAACTTCTCGCTGGTATCATACTCCGCCGATTGTCTGCCGCTCGTGAACGGTGCACGCGTGAGACCCAGGCTGTTTTTAGACCTGGTCGAGGTTGTATCGACCACATCTTCACTATTCGCCAAACTCTGGAGCACCGACATTCTTTTCGTTGACCAATGACTTCTATCTTCCTCAATTTAAAAGCGGCCTTCGATTCAGTCGACCGCTCTAAACTCTGGTGATGAACGATGTGCCCGAGAAGTTTATTTCAATATTGCGATCCCCTGATACTAGCAGCCGAAGCCAAATCCGAGCTTACGGTACATTTTCCCCGAGCTCAAAAAGGTATTTTTCAGGACTGGCCTCTCTCTCCGTTTCCATTCAACTTTTTCATAGACGTAATTCTTGAATCAGCCGTGTCCTCTTTTGAGGACTGTGGTATCGATTTACGCCCAGGAGGGAGACTATCTGATCTGGAGTATGCAGACGACATTGTGCTACTAAGTGAAGATCCAGGTAAGTTGCAGGCATTGCGGGATAGTTTGAGTGCTAGCGTACCCATGTTCGGTATGCGTTTTGCACCTTCAAAGTGTAAAATGTTACTACAATACTGGGTTGGTCCAGTACCCAGCCTTATTCTAACTGGGGAAGTGATAGAGCAGGTGGATAAGTTTTGTTGTTTGGGCATCTATATCTCACCCGATGGACGCGTCACGAATGAAGTATCAGCTCGCATACAGAAGGCGTAGTTTACACTTGCTAACTTGAGAGATCTGTGGTGCAGTCACAAAATCTGGCTGTCTGTAAGGCAACAAGTTACAGCAAAGTTCGCATAACCAACTGACGACATAGAATTGATTCGAAAGGACAATAATATATTTGCCATCGTTAAGCTGCTGTGAAGTTCACCTTCAGAGGTGACCCGTTTCCTGTTCTATGGTATTAGGAACACGGTTGTTGCGTTTCTCGCATGTCTTATGTAGTTTGGCCAACGGGAACAACTCAAAAGAGAGCGCACTTATCGCTTCACGGGTTGGGGTATTTCGACGAAGGACTTCCAAATGGTCAAGGGATTGATAATTTTTGTTTCACAATGTTTTTTAAAATTGTTATTCTGGACGAAATAGGTGGATATCTGCTGAATAATGTTTTCTCTCATTGTGGACTATTGAGGGATGAGTAATCTTTCTGCAGCATTACACCTTTCACGGTCAAAGTCATTTGTTCACGCAAGGAATTTTATTTTATATTTTTAGATGGTTTTTTAAACTGGAATACTTTCTTGATAATGAAATATACATCTCATAACGTTGATTCAATGTGACGGGCTGCTAAATGTATTGCCTTTAGCTGATTATTTTAAATACGTTTTACGCTAGAACACCATATGAACTCATGGACAATGTGTTTCGCTGGGATCAAATAAAGTGCACCCTAGACTTGAACTGAGTTAATTGTCTAAAGTGTGTGCTTTTAGCGATAGTTTTCCGTAATCTGGTTTATGGACAGAGATGTTTCAGGTAGATGCTGAAAGCATGACAATCCGAGCAGATCGACGGAATCCAGTTGCAATATGTAGGACAAAGTAACCTCGATAAACGAGTCGCATTCGATGCTCACGTAACATTCATTAGCACTGGCACGTTGCATGGCAATTGTGAATGATGACTGACGTGTACCATGGTCTGCAACATCTCTGCTCGGGCACGTAAAGTCTGTCAACTTTGTGTCTATTATTTTAAATCTGACCGTGTGGATTCACGTCGAGGTAAACAGTGGATGACGAACGTCTAAACGTTTGCGAAATGAAACAGGGAGAAGTGGGTTCGCTTAGTGGTAAGAACGTATCCTATCAGACCGAAACAGCAGTCAGTACAGTGCGTTCGAGGTTTTTACTGTAAGTTTCATCAACTCGGCACACGACAATATTCACCGAAAAATGTTTGGATCCCAGAATTGGGCCTGGAAAACAATGCCCAAACATCTACCCACAGATCCTAAATTTTTCAACAATAGACACACGAAAAACAAACTACAATCTCGTAAATCCTGAGCGCATAGAAACAAGTAAATTAGTCACACGTTCTGTGACAAGTTCCATTTCTATTGTTTATGATCCATTTAGAGTGAATGTACAATAAAAATGAAAATATCAGAAGCATCCGTTCCTTTTGATCTATTTGAATAAAACAAGTGACACACTATGAGCAGAATTGATGGTAATTCTGGTCATCAATTTTGCTTGCTCTCAATCAGCTGTCTACGTACATTGGATAGATCGAATTTTATGAGAAGAATACCATAATATATGGACATTTACATAATTACACTTATTTTGGCAGAAACAACTGGGTTGTTGAATCGTAAACAAAATCATTTGGAGCTGAATGAACGAGAAGGAGCTGGAGGAGGAGGACCGGATCATGATTACACAAGTTCAGATAAAAGGGGAAATGTCAGCATAGAAACAGTTACGCAAAATTCGATCTATTTAATGTGAAAAGATAGCTGCTGATTGTGAACAAACTAAATTGATGGTCAATATCAATCAATTCTGATCATATTGTTACTTGTTTTATTCAAAAATGAAGATATTTTGTGGGGATCCTAGCCTACGGGATGACGTAACAAACAACGGAGCGACACGTTACAGTTTCCGAACAACTGTGATCAATCAAGATTCCCAGGTGACGTCAGCAAAGCGCCTACGCCTTACATCTTCTGGACTACAAACCATGGGCAATTGTACCTACCAATCAGAAGCCGTGCGGCATAGACAGAAGCTGTACAGTGCCAGAAATATTAGCACGTAATTGGCAGAGAATTGGATGACCAATGAACTTGTTTTGTACATAATATCTAAATCTCATGATTTCCTTGAATAAAGGAACTGCTATTCCCGTGGTCTTTTTCTCGCGTCTCGGTTACGTGGGATACTGCCGAGCTAGCCCAATGTGATTCAGTGCTTACGTGGCGTTCGTGATTTCTGGCATGTGATTTGTATTTCGTGATCAGTGCCTACCACAACTATTACATATATGCAACCAGAGAAAATGAAGAAAACGTCTAAAATTAGGTCATCAATGGACCAGAACCACGGTCTTCTACAATCCATCTCACAAGCGTGTGTATGGCTACTATCAATTTTTAGTGTCTGAAAAATAACCAAATAAAAACGAAAATACAAAATCTTATCAAATATTGTTGTAGTGTTTACGAAAATATGCCAACTTTTGTTACAAAAAAAAACTATCGCACCCGATTAGACTTTATTTGTTTACACCCATCTACACTTTGTTTGCTTTCAAATATCCCAACATCAATTCAAGAGGTCCAAACGTCAAATGTTCTTGTATGAAATTAAGACTTTCCATCTGCTATTGTAGCAGTAGCACCTAAACATCTTAAATCGGTCCTGGGACGGCTGAACTGAAAAAGGTAAACTACCGAATGCATTAGCCATTCGTTACTACAACTCGAAAATATCAGCCAGAAAATATGTACGCCGATTTGAACTATGATAGTGTGACACCATGGTGGAAGTAGTAATATGATTACGTCACTAATAGTGATCTATCAGTAGAAGCTGAGACAGGAAATGAATGATGCTGTTGTAGA